TGGCCCTCTTGGCCACCTGGGCACACTGCTGGCTCCTATTCAGGCACCTGTTGATCAACACCTCCAGGTCCCTCTCTGCTGAGCAGCTTTCCAGCCACTCTTCCCAATGCCTGCAGCATTTCATGGGGTTGTTGTGACCCACTATCAAGTACTCTGAATCTGTTTACATGGATGACTTTTAACAGAACTTAGGCAGAAAGAAAAAGCCGCTTCACACTCCTACTGTTTGACATTTCCCACGCTGCTCTGCATTTGCTCCCCACACTCAGGTGAGCAGCCTTGGACAGCAGGCTGACAACCTGCCATGTCGAGAGGATCCAGGAGCAGCATGGCATCGGCTCTCTGGCCATGCGATGTCTGCAGAATGGGTGCACAGTCTGATCCAGCGCTCTACGGCAGCTAACATGGCCCTTCCCAGCAGAACAGGGAATCATTCTTTGGCCTCTGGAGCTGCCCACCCAGGCCCTCCAGGTGCTGGTGACCACTGGGGCAGGGCAGCTGGAGACACGTCCCATGCTCAGGTCTCCAGTGCTCTGCATCGGAGCGGCCCCACAGCCAGCCAAGCCGTTCCAGTGTGTGCCCCTGCTTGGCACGGAGAGCCTGCCAACCAGGCAGGCTGGACTTGGAGAAAACCTAGGGGTAGAAACTGGTGCGTTCTTCATCTCCACCATCCAGCCAAAGCCTCCTCAGCCAGTGTGAACAGAGTCCCACAGGCTACGTTCCCACAAGCTATTTTACTGAGTTTCCTCTACCTGCCCGAGAACAGAAACACGTTACTGACCCTTCTGCTGTCCTGATTCCAGCTCTGTGCAAGCCAGTAGACAGACAGACAGATGGACAAGGGTGGGCTTTGTTACCAAAGGGCATAGAAAAAGATAAACAGCTACAGTTCTCCTGATTGATGGAGCTTCACCGGAGCAAGCCTGAAGGAGATTCCCCACCAAGAGCACACTGGTACGCAGGTGGCATCGTAAATTATAGCACAGTCCATCCCAACGGTAGTGAGGGTACTGCCACAGACGTAGAGATCCAAATCAAGCCCCGGATGCAGCGAACAGTCCTTGCTACGTATGAAAGCCAAACTGCTTGTTCCCATGGATGAAATTCTCTCTCCCTGCAAGAAGCTGAATGAGCCGCACTTCGCCCCCGGAGCGCAGATGGGTATTTCCACTTGACAAGCAGATTAACACTGCTCTGCCTGCGACTCCCCTCACCGCTCCGCTGACTGGTGTCAGGAACAGTCAGCCTCCAGCTAACACGTAGCGGGACAGCTTGTCCGAGTTAATAGCTCCTGTTATTTTTAAAAGGGAGAAAAATAACCATTTTCTCCTAATAACAGCCATCATTTTTTTTCCCTATTTGTCAGTTTTGAGCAAGGAAGTGAAGTCCGGTTCTTCGTGTTAACAGCTTGACTTTCAGGTTCTCAGAGACTGGGAAAATTTTTTATTTGTTTAAAATAAATGTTTGCAGGGAGCTGTGGAAACATCTATGTTGGCCTCCAGTTTTCTACTGACTTGGTTTTTATATGATTTATAACTTGATTAAAGCCAGGTCAAATACCCATGGCAAGCGACTTTCGGCTGCAGAGAGGCTGTGCCCTTGCCACTGCCCACGTGCTACCGGCCCTAACGCAGTGTTAGGTATTATGTGATAACTGCATTTTCTTTCAAAGAACAATAATTATAATGATTTCAAAACCCGGGTTCACAGTATGTTCTCAGTTAGGTCATCTGTATTCTGCTCTAACAAGTTGTTTGCATCTGCAAACAATAGTTCAAGTCATTGAGCTGATACAAACTTATCACGAATGCTTAAAAAAGACTCTGCATGTCAAAGTGTCAGGCTCTGCTACCAGGGAATGGGTGATGGGATGAGGGAAATGGCCTCAAGTTGTGCCAGGGCAGGTTTAGGTTGGACATTG